TGCAACAGGATATAGACATTTGACAGTGATAAGCGGGGATGTCATCAGGGTGATAATCGGATCAAAAAAGATAGGCATGTGGTAGGAATCAACAGAGTGTGAGACAGAGACTATAATAAATCAGGTCTTATACTAAAAGGCCCCAATTTTGCTAGATCAATGACAAGTAAGAGCGTGATTGTCTGCTCATCTATTGACAGGGGAAACAGAGGTCACATTCTGAGCTTGAACTATATAGCAGAGACAGAGAAAAAATAGTTTATTTGGTGATAGGATATATGTTGTCTGCTGAGATTCAAGCAAAAAAGACCACATGGTATTTTGTGTAAATGTCTGATATATCACTAGATATACAGTCTTGGCACCAGCACCTAGGAGAATAGAAATGGTTGTAGAGTCTACTATGTCAGAAAACAAGGCAGCAAGGAGTGGAGTCTTATACTTTCCAGCAATAAGGTCTACATTGGCACCATAGTTTACCAGCAGCTGGACAATCTTAGCATATCCCTCATGTGCTGCAGCATAAATGACAGTACCATAGGTACCTGAAACCAAATTTACCTGGGCACCTGATTCAAGTAGGAAGTGAACAATTTCCAAATGCCCATGATATGCAGCTGCACAGAGAGGAGAACCATTAGCACCTGCAACCAGGTCAACCTGGGCACCAGAGCGGAGCAGCATCTGAACAACTTCTAGATTCCCACGACATGCAGTGATATGGAGAGCAGTTCCATGTTTGCCTGCAACCAAATCCACCTGGGCCCCTGAATCAAGCAGCAATTGAACAGCTTTCAGATTCCAATTATATATGGCCGCACAGAGAGGAGTTCTGAAGCGGCCTGAAACCAAATCTATTTGGGCACCTGAGCAAAGAAGCAGCTGCATAAATTCATAATTTCCATAACATGTAGCTGTATAGAGTGCAGTATACCATGGTGTCCAGCAATCAAATTTATCTGGGCACCTGAGTCCAGCAACAACTGAACAACTCTCATATCCTGCTTTGTTACAGCTACAGAGAGAGCAGTGCCCACTTGGGGTACTACCAAATCCACTTGCGTCCCTGAATCAAGCAATAGTTGAACAGCTTCCAAATTACCATGTGCTACAGCTGCCCCTAGTGCAGTGCCATAACAGCCAGCATGTAATAGCTGAATAACTTTTAAATGACTATAGGTTGCAGCTCCACAGAGTGCAGTGCCATTAGACTCACTACTAACCAAATTTATCTTGGTGTAAGGGCAACCCTGGAGACTCCGACGAAAGCCTAGCAGGGGAGGATCCAAAGCGTGAATAGAAGCTACGGAAATACACGGAGGGACCGACCTAGCAGGGGAGGATCCAAAGAGAAGAAACTCTAAGGGTCCGCCTGCTAGGGCGCCAACTATATACTGGTCGTCCGTAACTGCCGACGTAGAGCGCAGAAGGCCTGAGCGGCGTCGCAAGCTCTGTCCCAAGGTGATCGTTGGGAGGGTCTTGACGGATCGGTGATTGTGCGGGCGAAGGAGGCCGTGGACGATGGTCGGGGTGGGTCGGAGCGTCCGAGGGGGCGCCGGTCGGATGCGCCTCGGATGCGTTCGGAGGGTCCGAAGGAGGCCGAAGCGGGGGTTCCCCTGACACTTGGCACCTGATTTAAGCAGCAGCTGAACAATTTCCAAATTCCCATGTCGTGCTGCTGCATAGAGAGGAGTAGAATTCTGATGACAACCCAAATCTACTGGTGTTCCTGAGTCAAGCAGCAGGTGAACAATATCCCAATTTTGATGTTCTACAGCTGCATGTAGAGCAGTAACTGACCTATATCCAGCAGCCAAATTTGCCTGTGCACCCTTCTCTAAAAGAAGCTGAACAATAACCCGCTTTCCATACATGCAGGCAATATGCAATGCAGTGCCCCAGAGTCCATCGACAAAATGAATTGTATTTTTTCCATGCTTATTCCATAATACTTCAAGCAGCTCTAGCTGATCAAACAGGACAGCAATGAGATATGTTGGATTCTCAGTATTTCCATTCTCCAGAAGATAGGCTGTGAGGTCTGCTAAGTCTCCTGCAATTGTAATACAAAGAACTGTCAACTTTGTCCGGGTTCGAATAAGTCTGATCCATGGTTCTAACCAAGATATAGTGCAATAGTGTGTCTGGCCATGATAGAAAAATTCAGAGTTTATAATATGCTCAATACATTCAATTAATTCTGACTTTAGAACTGTTTCTGGTACTCCTTTTGCGTGAGATAGAATATATTGAGCATAATTAAGGAGATCATAACATTTTAAGCTCCACCCATTTGGTGGTACCAAGTTTAGATAGATGCACAAAGTATGTGTGATTTTGACTTCCAAGTCTGGAAAGTCAATATGCCTGATCTGTTCAAGAAAGTCTTGAGTTGTATAGTGGACAAGACGTATAACCCCAGATTCTTTGTCTTGTGTGAGAAGCCCACAGCATATCTTGATAATAAAACCAATTCTGATCAATTGCTTGGTACTTGGTACTGCTCTAATTTCTGGGGTAATAGCAAGAGCTGTCTGCAGTTCAATTGCTTTCAATGGACGTTTTGTATGGGAGATCCATCCAAGAGCCAGCATTGCAACATTTGCCTGGGTTGGAGGCTGTAATTTAATATGATCTAGAGTTTGCTGATATGCTATATCTAGCACATCTGGTAGGTTATTCAGAGAGTATTCAAGTGCCTCTACTGTCAGGGCTGTGCTGAGAAGCTGGAGTTGAAGTTGTACTAGGAGAAACCTAAAATCCATAATGTTGGTTAGTTTAAACAAATATGTTAATTAGAACTGACATTCCATTAGCTTTCTCAATGATTTTACTCAATATGTGCTCTTTCAGAGAGATATCTTCAGAGATGAATTCTCTCAATGCATAATAACCCTCAATGTGTTGCAGAATATATGACTTGATGTCTTCCTCATTTGCCTGCAGTTCTAGAACAGTGATGCATTTCTCTGATGGCAGTGCCAAATGAGGCCGGGTCATAATCATCACATTTATGTTCTCTCCTAGCTGTAGAATTTGTTGCAGCAGAGTATGATATTCTCCATACTGGTATTCATCTAAAGCATCTACCACAATGTATACAAGCCTGAATGTGGAGAGCAGAGATGAAATCAGCTGTTGAATCTCATTAAGACTAGCACTAGTTCCTTTATCTTTATGTCTGTTGTAGAGATTTTTGGCTGCTGTCATATCATTGCATATGATTAGCTGTCTCCAAATGGCTGCCAGAAGATTCTTCTCAGTTTGAACTACACATTCTTTGTAGTTCAAATAAATGGAGGCAACTCCAATGGTAGGGTCCCCAATTCGAGCCTGGATCAGATGATCTATCACTTTGGATCTAAAAATACTTAGCATGGGATAGCTATAATAAGTTAAAATTACACAAGAACTGTTTTGCCCATTCCAGCTGTAAATCATTAGCTGCTATGAAACAATGCATCAGATGACCTACGTATGCCAGTGCACCAGAGGATATTGCCCTGTCCTTCTTTCCATTTCAAAAAGTCTCGGTGTTCCACAAGCCAGTCCCCAGTGTTTGGCTTCCGGATCTCAGAGATTGCTTGGTGTCGGAGGAAAAAGTTAATGGGGGAGATCCAATCCATGAGTTTCTGATCAACTGCGGAAAATTAGCATAAAGAAAATAGTGCATAACAGAGCATACAGTCTGGTTCTGTACCTCCATAGATGCTATAAATATATGTGATCAGACCAAGATTAGTAGCCATGCACAACACTGGCACATACTAGTTCTGATCTCCTGACACAAATATCTGGGGGCCTTGGCCAAGTCCTCCCTGGCCACCAGAGCCTCCAGTTCCCCCAGATCCACCAATTCCACCTGAAATGTTTGTTCATTGCTTATTAGCAAGTGGGCAGTGACATAAATTCATACCTGAGACATTCAAGACAGACATTCCGAGTTGTGAGGTGCGGTGGAGGTGGTCAAGAGCAAGGTGTGCTGCTCATGGGAAGCGGCGCGGAACCAGGGAGAACTTGTGTGATATTGATCTGACATTTCTTGATGATGGAAAGCAAAGAACGGCAAAGAAGGGAGGCTGTGCGACATTTTACTTCTTTCTTCCGCACGTCCATCATCTTTTCCCTCGTGTTGACGACGACACGCGGCTCATGCACACTGCTGGTGTTCCGAAGCAATTGTCTCCGAAGACGCGCGCGGGTGGCCGACGAGCATCGACGGTCGTACGAACGCGTCTATGGTAGCCTGGATTAGCGTGTCGGTGATTCACTGGTGCAGATGGCGCATGGCCCGGAGGCGTCGGTGCGTGTTTTGCTTGCCAGTGCCTCCCGGGTGATGAGTTAGAGACGAGTTGCAGCCGCCCTAGGCCTTCTACACAACTCCCTCCGCAGAGAGCACGACACAAATTGCGGACCACAAACACGGACCGCGTTGTCTCGGAGCACAAGCGGGCAAGCCGAGCCGCCAATGGTTGCCAGTGTGGCCACCGGGTTGATGGGTGTGGATGGCTTCGTGGTCCGGGGATGTCGGTGCGTGTTTCTCTCTGTTGGCCGTTATCCCGACCGCTGATGACTGTGGGCTCCGTAGCTGCTCTCCTCCCGCGATCTTGACGCGCAGTCCAATGCACTGTCACATCGCTCCGCTCTTCGCACAGCGTCTGTCCTTCTCAACGGCGTCCGCGCCACCAGCATGAGCAAAAGCAGTGTGACGGGCGAACGTCCTCGGCCCGGCCTGCCCGAGGACTCGCGAGCGCTAACTTGAATGCCTTCCATGAATCTTGGCACGGCGGATGTCGAGCTGCACAGATGACAAATATAGACGTTGCGATCTTGCCCTCCAGTTGCTGCGACTCCAAATTAGATTTTTCTATGTGCCGCGGGACGCCATCCGTTCCTAGGCGCAACCCGTTGTATCAATACGGCGACCCGGCATCGATGCGGCGAGCGCCGATCTGCATTCCAGTTGCGCTCGACGCCCGCCTTTCAATGGGTGCTGTATGATGCATCACGCCGCACAGCCGGGGGCATCGCATGTCGATACACACCGTCCCGCTCTCTTCATCTTCGCCTTTCCTTCCGCGTTCGCTGGTCGTTCTTCCGTTAATTTCCCTCCCTCTCCTGACCTTGACACGTTCCTGGTGGACGCCCTTCCCTTCGTTCTCTCGCCGCCTTCCTTTCCTGCTACACACAACTCAAACAACCACTTGGCTATGTCTGCCCTCGCCCTCCCGCTCATCCTCTCTTTTCTCTCTCGTATGTTCTATCCTGCCGCGTTTCCTCGCTCTAACCCCCACCCGAAGTCGCTTCGGCTGCCCCCACGCCCGATAAAGTAACCGTCATGCTCCCGTTCGCCGACGCGGCGCCTGTCTCCGCAAAGGTCCTCGGCGTCGATGGCGCTGGACACACGACATACGAGGTCGTTGCGCCGGTCACGATGGGCGGCGGCACCGTCGCGGGCTTCACTGCCACTGGTGTGTCGTTTCCGCCTGTCAGATTATCAATGTTGATTATAATCCCCAGCAACACTCGTTGCCGGCCCATCTTACGTGGCCCTCTCCGAGGCGGCGATGTACCCCGCAGCCTCGGCAATGGTCCTCAACGGGATCGCCTGCAGCATGGACGGCGCGAGCGCTGCATGCGCGATGCAGACGCTGGTCGGAAGCCAGTTCAGCACCGCGACAATGGCGCTGCCGACCGCGTCGCTGCAGGCCGAGGTGCTGGACGTGCTGCCGGGCGGCGCTGTCAACAACGCCGCCGCTGATCCGAGTGCGAGTGGCAGCAGTGCCGGTGCCGGAGCGAGCGGCGCCGCGGGGAGCAGTGCGGCGAATAGCGCTGGGAGCAGCTCGACCGGCAGCAGCGCCGCGCCGGCCGGGACGACGCCGGCGGGTAGCAATACGAGCGGCGCACCGCCGGCGCAGTCCAGCAAGTCGGCGGCGGGCCGCGGTGTCGCGCTTGGGCCGGCGGGCATGGGCGTGAGTCTTGTGGTTGGCGTGGCTTCGCTGGTCGGCGCATTGCTGGTGGTGTAGGACTTGGTTGCTGGGCTATGTGGACTTGAAGTTTCTTGTGTCGTTTTAGAGCTGGTATAATTCGATATTACGATGAGTATTGATATACATAAGCAGTTTGAGTCGCCTGCTTCCCGCTTGATCGGCATATCCATGCTAAACTTGATGCAAGGCAATTGCAACAAAAACCGCCGAGGAAAAGAAAAGCAGACCCTGGCCGACGTGACAGCGCGCACTGGCACTCGCACACTACTATCTACATGCCAGTGCTCCGTCAGCCGAGGGCACGGAAATCAATCGCCGGCCCTCTCTGAGGGCCACGACAGTTGGGATCCGACTCATCGATCCAGTTTCATCACACCATTCGCAACTCCCAGCACAGTACAGCAACTTGCTCGGGTGACGCACCCATGGCCCGGCCTTGATGCCTCTGCCTGTGGGACCGGTATGTAGATACCACGCAAAACCGTTGAACGGTCAATATCTGCGGGCGTCGCGACCTCGTCCTGCGGTGGGGCTTTTGACTTCTGTTAGTTTGTTCTTTTCCCTCAACCTCAGCCTCAATTCGAGGGCCCGGAGCAGCTGCTCGTAGGGCACTGATTATGGTACTACATGTAACATGACAGCTAGTTGTAAAATCGTAGGCGGTTCAGGTGCCAGCAATGCAAAGGGGGTTCAAGATCCTTATCAAGCACATGGGGTAGGGGGGAGGGTCCCCGGGGGGTAAAAAAAACTTTTTGTATATAAAAGATTTGGGCCTTATATGGGTGTAAAGACACTGAAAATATAGTGTATACACTCTAGTTTCTATAGCTCACAACTCTCATACTTATATCTATATACTTTCATGCCCAAGAGCTTGGATAGCCCACTCTGTCATAGGCCCATCACCAGGTAATTGATGAGAGATGAACATGTTGAAGGGTTCATATGGCCTGCCATGTGTATTTGAAGGCTTCAGGTACATACCTTGTGAATGAATATACAGATTATGATGTATTCAGTCTGGTGCGACGAGAGAAGCGGTAGGTTAATACATGGATAAGTAAACAGAAATAGGAGTCATACCTGGTGCGACGAGAGAAGCGGTAGGGGCTCTCCCGTTGCCCAGGTTCCAGATGAGTGTCCGATCAGTTGTAGATTAGATATGAGGGCGCTCACGTGCGTCAGTCTCCAACACCCCCCTTGACGCGCGTCCAGTCGTAGAAGTTTCACCCATCGCGAATGCATCAGGCGGTGCAATGGTTTTGTGAAGAGATCGGCGATATTTTCGTTGCCAGCGATGTGCATCACGTCGATCCATCGGTGTAAAACGCAGTCGCGAATGAAATGCTCCCGTATAGCAATGTGCTTCATTTTCGAATGGGCGTGTGGATCGTGAGTACAGGCGACAGTTCCTTGGTTGTCGCAAAATAGTGACGTTGGTTGTTCCTGCGGGAATCCAAGTTCTTCCAGGATGTTGCGAAACCAGAGTATGTCCTTAGCACAGTGTGTGGTCGCCAAGTATTCGGCCTCGCATGACGACAATGCCACAACTGCTTGCTGTTTCGAGCTCCAGGAGACTGGTGAATCACCCATGAGTATCACGAAGCCTGAAATTGACTTGCGATCATCTCCCATTCCCCAATCCGAGTCACTAAGGGCAGTGATCGTGGGCGTTGGTTGTTTCAGGCCACCCAAACGAACTCCGTGTGATGTTGTCCCGCCGAAGATACCGGAGCAGGTGCTTTGCTGCGGTCACATGTGCAGGGCCGTAGCGTGCCATAAATCGAGCCAGTTCGCGCACCGTGTAGGAAATGTCTGGGCGAGTACATGTCGACAGGTACATGCATCTGCCAACTATTGCTGCATAAGGAAAATCTCTTGCTTTCGCGACTTCCTCATCAGTTGCGGCCACAAGTCGGGTACTTGGATCCATGGGAGTTTGGACGGAGTTGCTCTTCTCGAACCCGAAATCGCGTAGAATGGTTTCAGTGAACGACTTTTGGTGTAAATGGATTGTCTTGTTGGCTCGATCTCGCTCCACGATACATCTAAGTGCAAGTTTGGCTCGCCGTTGTCGGTTATCTCGAATTGAGCTGCAAGCGCTGCAACAACCGCATCGGACTCGGCTTGCGATGATGAAGCAATGAGCATATCATCGACACTTGTCGTTATGATTGTGAGTGCATCGTGTTGTCTTCGGATGTAGACGCTCCAGTCCGATTCCACCCGTTTGAAGCCAATAAGCTCAAGGCGCGAGTTTAGTTCGAGGTACCATTGTCGTCCCGCTTGTTTCAGCCCGTACAGTCCTTTAAGCAGTCTCCAGAATCCAGGACCTGCTATTTCCGGTTTCCGCATATAGATTTCTTCATCTAATGGGCCGTTCAAGAAGGCGGTCTTGACGTCGACTTGGCGCAAGACCATGTCGTTCATGGCGGCGAGCGTGAGCACGAAGCGGATGGATTCCCAGCGGGCGACAGGAGCGAAGGTGTAATTGTAGTCTTGACCCGGGATTTGAGTGAACCCCTTCGCGACCAACCTTGCTTTGAACCTTGAGATGCGTCCGTCTCTGTCGCGCTTTATGTGCAACACCCACTTGCAGGCGACCGCTTTGCGACCATGCGGAAGTCCATACTCCTTTCGCCTTTAGAGATTCCAATTCTTCGAAGATGGCAATGAGCCATTGCGGCCAGTACATTGAGGCTCGGGCCTCCGGTATGGAGTTTGGATCTTTGGCGTCCGGATCGTCAATGGGTTTCGTGAGCGTTGAGTATATTCTTTCGGATTTCTCGATTGCTTGCGCTAGATCGGGAAGGTCTGCCGGTTCGCACTCGATTTCGAGTTCATCACCCGACAGTAGGGCGGATAGAATGTAATCTTCTGATAATATGAAGTCCTCCCCCCCTTCGTCCAATGTCGCGTGCTCGATTATGAGCCGGGCGGGAACACGGCGGACTCTGGGCGTCTTCCGTTGTGCGAGGGGTGTGTCATCGATGGGCTGTTCATCAGGCAATCGCTCAGCATCTGGCATTGGAACATCCTCGCTGGAAGTATAATTAGGTATTCGTTAACGAATCCTTGGTGCGTTAACGCACATATTCGAGTATCTTGACTCGTTGTGTATGTCTTTTGTTACTTTGTCAAGGATCCGTTTTACGGGCCTGTACTTTTCGTCAGCTGCATAAACCCATGTGTTATCACATACTCGGGTGTCGCTTCTTTGTAAAGTTGTCTCATCCAATGTGGAGGGACGCCTGGTTAAACAGGTTAAAATGTGTTGCGTCACCGTTAACGGTGCGACGTACGTATGCTCTGAGGCAGATTCGCTTGATAGCGGTTGCTCGAAGGTAGGTCTTTCGACCACCTTGGGCGCACAGGGTTCTCAATCTCGGAAATGCTCTTCAATCTCTGAAGGCACATCCTCCCACAATTCTCCGTTGGCAGACATCGGGGTCGATGGATTGTTTTCGGGAAAGCCGTGGAACTCGACGTCTCGCCGCGGCCGAATCGTTTTGGTGTTGGGAAACCAAATCAAGTAACCCTTGGAGTCTCGCGCATACCCCACAAAATGCCCCTCCTCGCCCCTTGCCAGAAATTTCATTTGCTCGGTTGAATTTGTCTTTCGCGCAGTGACGAGTGCTCCGAAGGGTCGTAGGTGGGAGAGATTAGGCTTGTGCTTAAACCAGCTTTCGAAAGGAGTCGATCCGTCGTTGTTTGCTGCATGAGGCACGCGGTTCTTGATGTGCACGCAAGCTTGGACAGCCAATGGCCAGAACCAGTGGGTGAGTGAGGAATCGATGAGCATTGCACGCGTCATATTCTGGATAGTTTGGTTGAGACGCTCCGCTACACCGTTTTGCGGGGATGCGTCGGGGACGGATTTTTCGTAGGAGATGCCATTTTGGAGACAGTACTCCTTGAATTGGCCGTTGACAAGCTCTGAGGCGTTGTCTATTCGGAGGAAGACGATTTTGACTCCTAGTAGATTTTCGGCGGCAATTCGGTACTCGTTGAAACACTTGAGAGCCTCGTCCTTGGTCTTGAGAAAATAGACAGATGCGAAACGGCGGAAGTCGTCGGTGAATGTAATAAAATACTTGAATCCACCGTAGCCGGTGGGAAAAGGACCACAGATGTCAGAATGGATGCGGAATAATACGCGCTCAGCGCGGTTTGAGGCTTTGGAGGGAAATTTCAGTCGTTTGATGTTAGCTAGAGCACACACCCGGCAATTAGGAATGTTGGTAGAGTCGATAGGGAGACCGTGTGTCGTTTTCTGGAGCCCTTTTACGTCGAGGTGGCCCATTAGACGGTGGAAAAAACCGCCTGCTTGGCCCCTTCTTCGTTGTTGGTCCCAAGTACCGCCATGACGGATGGCGTTGTCGCGTTGATGAGATCTGGGCCCAAATCAGGTCCCCAGGGAGTTTTTGTCGAATTGTCGACATTTTCGACTAGATTTGCCTCCCGGGGGTTTCGTCAGGAACTTCCGCTCTAACATTCATCTTGTATAGTCCTCCAACAATCTCCCCGAGGCAAACGGGAACTCTTCTTCAGCGTTGAAGTACTGGATTCGTCCCCCCCCGTCTCCGTTTGGGACGCCCTTTCACATCCAACTGTGCCCCCGAAATGAGGTTGCAACGTGCAGTGGGGATGTGGAGGACATTGCTGATGGAGAATCTTTTGTCGCCAGTGTGAGTACCTTCCAGTACGATGCCCCCCTTTCCTAAGGCTTGTGTAGTCAGGTTGGTACCGAAACCAAAAACGTTCACCGGGTTGCGAAAGGTCTTGTATCCCCGAAACAACGACTTGTTGTTGAAGACATGTCGGGAGGCGCCCGTATCGTGGTATATATTGTCGGTGCGTGTCGACGACGCGTCTGTCGTCTCTACACTGACGGCGTTCACCCAGACGTCACCTTCAAGTTCTTCTTCATCGTCCTCAATCTCCAACGGTCCACTGAAGAAGGCATAGTCAGATAGTCTACGCCGACAGTCTCGTTCCCAAGGACCTCAAGGGCCTCCTCTTCACTGTCAACTGTT